AAATTATTTTTTGAAGGTCTTTCAAAGGTGGGCAATTTAAAAAAAAATATTTTTGAATGTCTTTCAAAGCTGGGGAGTTTTTAAAAAATATTTTTGAAAGTCTTTCAAAGGTGGGAATTTTTAAAAATATTTTTGAAGGTCTTTTAAAGGTTGGGAGTTTTAAAAAAAAAATTTTTGAAGGTCTTTCAAAGGTGGGGAATTTTTAAAAATATTTTTGAAGGTCTTCCAAAGGTGGGGAATTTAAAAAAAATTTTTTGAAGGTCTTTTAAACGTGAGGAATTTTTAAACAATATTTTTTGAAGGTCTTTCAAAGGTGGGGAATTTTTAAAGAATATTTTATGAAAGTCTTTCAAAGATAAGGAATTTTTAAAATAATATTTTTGAAGGTCTTTCAAAGGTAAGGAATTTAAAAAAAAAAATATTTTTTTGAAGGTCTTTCAAAGGTAAGGAATTTTTAAAAAAATATTTTTGAAGGTCTTTCAAAGGTGGATAATTTTTAAAAATATTTTTTGAAGGTCTTTCAAAGATGGAGAATTTAAAAAAAAATATTTTTGAAGGTCTTTCAAAGGTGTGTAATTTCTAAAAAAAATATTTTTTGAAGGTCTTTTAAAGGTGGGTAATTTAAAAAAAAATATTTTTGAATGTCTTTCAAAGGTGGGGAATTTTTAAAAAAATATTTTTGAAGGTCTTTCAAAGGTGTGTAATTTCTAAAAAAAAATATTTTTTGAAGGTCTTTTAAAGGTGGGTAATTAAAAGAAAAAATATTTTTGAATGTCTTTCAAAGGTGGGGAATTTTTAAAAAAATATTTTTGAAGGTCTTTCAAAGGTGGGGAATTTTAAACGTGAGGAATTTTTAAAAAATATTTTTTGAAGGTCTTTCAAAGTTGTGTAATTTCTTAAAAAAAATATTTTTGAAGGTCTTTCAAAGGTGGGGAGTTTTTAAAAATATTTTTTGAAGGTCTTACAAGGGTGAGGAATTTTCAAAAAATATTTTTTAAAAGTCTTTCAAAGGTGGGGAATTTTTTAAAATTATTCTTTAAAGGTCTTTTAAAGGTGGGGAATTTTTAGAGAACATTTTTTCAAGGTCTAAAATAGGCTTGGATTTTTTAAGAATATTTTTTTCAAGCTCTAAAATAGGCTTGGATTTTTTAAAGAATATTTCTTCAACGACCATCCATGGCGTGGATAATAAAAAAATATTTTTTAAAAATATTTTTATATTTTTTAAAAAATATTATTTAAAAATATTTTTATATTTTTTAAAAAATATTTTTTAGGGTCTATCACAGGTGTGAATTTTTTTGAAAAAAATTTTAATGTCTATCACAGGTGTTGATTTTAAAAAAAAAAATAAGGGTCTATCACAGGTGTGGATTTAAAAAAAAATTAGGGTCTATCACATGTGTGGATTTTTTAAAAAATAATTTTTTAGGGCCTATCACAGGTGTGGATTTTTTAAAGAATATTTTTCCAAGGTCTCTCAGAGGTGAGGATTTTTTAAATAATATTTTTTCTACTTCTCTATTTTTTTAGCCAGCCAATGGAGCTATTATATATTTTTTCCCATTTCTCCATTTTCCCCTGTCCTGATGGTCCATTTCATATCTTGCTCCTTAGTACCTCTCCCAATACAAAGCCCCTAAGTAAGTGGCCTTTTGTCCCGAAGTAGTGGATTTTTTAAACAATATTTTTTCAAGGACTACCAAAGGCGTGGATTTTTTAAAGAATATATTTTCAAGGTCTCTAAGAGGTTTAGATTTTTTAAATAATATTTTTCCAAGCTCTCCCTGAAGCGTGGATTTTTTAAACAATATTTTTTCTAGGTCTCTAAAAGGTGGGGATTTTTTTAAATAATATTTTTTCTAGGTCTCTAAGAGGTGGGGATTTTTTAAAGAATATTTTTTCAAGATCTCTCAGAGGTGGGGATTTTTTCAAAGAATATTTTTTCGAAGTCTCTAGGAGGTGGGGATTTTTTAAAGAATATTTTTTCAAGGATTATCCAAGGCATGCATCTTTTAAAGAATATTTTTTTCAAGGATTATCCAAGGCATGGAACTTTTAAAGAATATTTTTTTTAGGTCTCTAAAAGGGGGGAATTTTTTGAATAATATTTTTCCAAGCTCTCCTTGGGGTGTGGATATTTTAAAGAATATTTTTTCAAAGTCTCTAGGAGGTGGGGATTTTCTAAAGAATATTTTTTAAAGGATTATCCAAGGCATGGATTTTTTAAAGAATATTTTTTCAACGATTATCCAAGGCATCGACTTTTTAGAGAATATTTTTCCAAAGATTATCCAAGGCAGGGATTTCTTAAAGAACATTTTTTCAAGCTCTCTAGGAGGTGGGATTTTTTTAAAGAATATTTTCTCAGGGTCTCTAAGAGGTGTGGATTTTTAAAGAATATTTTCTCAAAGGTCTCTAAGAGATTAGGATTTTTTAAAAGATATTTTCTCAGGGTCTTTATGAGGCGTGGATTTTTTGAAGAATATTTTTTCAAGCTCTCCTTGGGGTGTGGATTTTTTAAAGAATATTTTTTCAAAGTCTCTAGGAGGTGGGGATTTTTTAAAGAATATTTTTAAGGGCCTTTTTAAATTTTTTTAAGATGCGTAATTCCAAATATATTTCATCTATCCAATTTTGCGGCCCCTAATGACCACCGTTAACATCACAAATCCTTAAGCAATTAAAATTTGACCGCTAGGCCTGAACAAAGAACTCCAATTTTTTATTTCCCTTTAGTCCTGCTCTCAAATGGTGCTGCTCATTTAATTGCATGTTCCTTCTTGCGGTCTAATTCGTTTTCAAATATAATAAAATGCGTGGCATAAACAATTGTCCTCCTGAGGGCAGTTTTTTTTCTGGTTTGGTTAGGATTCTAATGACTTTCGCGGTGCTCTCTCACATTTGCAAATGGGAAGGTCAGGAAAGGAGAGAGAGCAGCGAGTCTAACGAGACTTGTTAAGAGGGTAGTTAGAAATTCATATATTTTTCTAAATGGCTGCATGGGTGTGTGTGTGGGAGTGCAATGAGGTGGGGTCCTGCCATTTTTACATGCAAATTAGATTGTAATTTTTTGGAAGTGGAGGATGATTTTTTTTTTGAAAGGTTGTAGAAGTGAATTGAAAGGTTGGAGCATTAAATGCCGTTAAATGTCAAAGTAAACATTTGCTTTACGTGACGAGCCATTTAATCCGGAGATTTGTTCCAAATGATATTTCAATATTTGGATACATGTAATGGGATGGCCCACGGATTTTTTAAAGAATATTTTTTCAAGACCTATCTCAGGCGTGGATTTTTTAAAGAATATTTTTTTAAGACCTATCTCAGGCGTGGATTTTTTAAAAAATATTTTTTCAAGGTCTATCACAGGCGTGGATTTTTTAAAAAATATTTTTTCAAGGTCTATCACAGGTGTGGATTTTTTAAAAAATATTTTTTCAAGGTCTATCACAGGCGTGGATTTTTTAAAAAATATTTTTTCAAGGTCTATCACAGGCGTGGATTTTTTAAATAATATTTTTTCAAGGCCTATCTCAGGCGTGGATTTTTTAAAGAATATTTTTTCAAGGCATATCTCAGGCGTGGATTTTTTAAAGAATATTTTTTCAAGGCTTATATAAGGCGTGGATTTTTTAAACAATATTTTTTCATGGCCTATCTCAGGCGTGGATTTTTTAATGAATATTTTTTCAAGGCCTATCTCAGGCGTGGATTTTTTAAACAATATTTTTTCAAGGCTTATATAAGGCGTGGATTTTTTAAACAATATTTTTTCAAGGCTTATATAAGGCGTGGATTTTTTAAACAATATTTTTTCAATGCCTATCTCAGGCGTGGAATTTTTAAAGAATATTTTTTCAAGGCCTATCTCAAGCGTGGATTTTTTAATGAATATTTTTTCAAGGCCTATCTCAGGCGTGGATTTTTCAAACAATATTTTTTCAAGGCCTATCTCAAGCGTGGATTTTTTATGAATATTTTTTCAAGACCTATCTCAGGCGTGGATTTTTTAAAGAATATTTTTTCAAGGCCTATCTCAGGCGTGGATTTTTTAAAGAATATTTTTTAAGGCCTATCTCAGGCGTGGATTTTTTAAAGAATATTTTTTTAAGGCCTATCTCAGGCGTGGATTTTTTAAAGAATATTTTTTCAAGGCCTATCTCAGGCGTGGATTTTTTAAAGAATATTTTTTCAAGGCCTATCTTAGGCATGGATTTTTTAAAGAATATTTTTTCAAGGTCTATAAGAGGCGTGGATTTTTTAAAGAATATTTTTTCAAGACCTATCTCAGGCGTGGATTTTTTAAAGAATATTTTTTCAAGACCTATCTCAGGCGTGGATTTTTTAAAGAATATTTTTTCAAGGTCTATAAGAGGCGTGGATTTTTTAAAGAATATTTTTTCAAGGCCTATCTCAGGCGTGGATTTTTTAAAGAATATTTTTTCAAGACCTATCTCAGGCGTGGATTTTTTAAAGAATATTTTTTCAAGACCTATCTCAGGCGTGGATTTTTTAAAGAATATTTTTTCAAGACCTATCTCAGGCGTGGATTTTTTAAAGAATATTTTTCCAAGACCAAGACTATCTCAGGCGTGGATTTTTTAAAGAATATTTTTTCAAGGACCAAACGCAGGCGTGGATTTTTTAAAGAATATTTTTTCAAGGACCAAACACAGGCGTGGATTTTTTAAAGAATATTTTTTCAAGACCTATCTCAGGCGTGGATTTTTTAAAGAATATTTTTTCAAGACCTATCTCAGGCGTGGATTTTTTAAAGAATATGTTTTCAAAGCCTACCACATTTAATATATTTTCCATCGACCAATAAACAGTAAAAAAGCCAGTTTTAATTTTTTCATTATTTTTTATTAAATTATTTTCTCGTATAAAAAACAAAAATTTCAAAGTGCCTCCATCTTTTTTTGCGGCAACGAAATATTTTCTCATTCTAATCTCTTAAAGCTTATTTTTTGTTCGTAGATATATTTCAGCTATTATTCCACAGATTCGATTCACTTGCATTTGCTGCACTCCTCTTCCCCTTCGCAGATATCACAGAGTTTGGTTTCGATTTCATAAAAATCGGTTGCCTTTTTATTCGAATCGTAGTAGTCGTAGACCTTGATAGGGGCAGGCTTTTGTAAAGCGACAGCATGGGCTCGAATGGCCTCGTAGAGGATGCAAGTCTTTTGATCCTTGTACAGATGATCGAAGTAAATGACCAGCAGGGAGTTGGCATTTTTCAGTTCAACGTTCTGGAAAAATAAAAAAAGTTAAATTATATTTTTTTTTAAACATTTTTTAAGGAATACCAGTGACTTGGATTTTTTAAAGAATATTTTTTCAAGAACCAAACACAGGCGTGGATTTTTTAAAGAATATTTTTTCAAGTTTTTAAGAGGCGTGGATTTTTTAAACAATTTTTTTCAAAGTTTTTAAGGGTCGTGGATTTTTTAAAAAATATTTTTCGAAGCTTTTAAGGGGCGCGAAATTTTTAAAAATATATTTTTAATGCTTTTTAGAGGTGTGGATTTTTAAAAAATATTTTTCAAGGCTTTTGAGGGGCGTGAATTTTTTAAAGAATATTATTTCAAGCTCCATAAGTGGCGTGGATTTTTTAAAAAAATATTTTTCAAAGTTTTTGTGTAGCGTGGATTTTATAAAAAATATTTTTTCAAGCTCCATAAGTGGCGTGGATTTTTTAAAAAAAAAATATTTTTCAAAGTTTTTGTGTGGCGTGGATTTTTTAAAAAAAAAAATATTTTTCAAAGTTTTTGTGTGGCGTGGATTTTATAAAAAATATTTTTTCAAGGCCTTAAAGAGGCGTGGATTTTATAAAAAATATTTTCAGGGCTTTTAATAGGAGTGGATTTTATAAAAAATATTTTCAGGGTTTTTAATAGGAGTGGATTTTATAAAAAATATTTTTTCAGGGTCTTATAGAGGCGTGGATTTTCCAAAAAAATATTTTCAAGGTCTATCGCAGGCGTGGATTTTTTAAAAAAATATTTTTGAAGGCTTTTAAAAGGCGTGGACTTTTTAAAAAATATTTTTCAAGGTATTAAAGAGGCCTGAATTTTTTAAAACATATTTTTCGAGGTCTCTCACAGGCGTGGATTTTTTAAAGAATATTTTTTCAAGCTCTCCCAGAGGCGTGGATTTTTTAAAGAATATTATTTCAAGCTCTCCCAGAGGCGTGGATTTTTTAAAGAATATTATTTCAAGCTCTCCCAGAGGCGTGGATTTTTTAAAAAAATATTTTTCAAGGACCACCAGACACGTGGATTTTTAATAAAATATTTTTAAAAGTTTTTAAGGGGCGTGGATTTTTTAAAAAAATATTTTTTAAAGTTTTTAAAAGGCGTGGATTTTTTAAAAAATATTTTTCAAAGTTTTTTAGAGGAGTGGATTTTTTAAAAAATATTTTTCGAAGTTTTTAAGAGGCGTGGATTTTTTAAAAAATATTTTTCAAAGTTTTTAAGAGGCGTGGATTTTTTAAAAAATATTTTTCGAAGTTTTTAAGAGGCGTGGATTTTATAAAAAATATTTTTCGAAGTTTTTAAGAGGCGTGGATTTTATAAAAAATATTTTTCGAAGTTTTTAAGAGGCGTGGATTTTATAAAAAATATTTTTCGAAGTTTTTAAGAGGCGTGGATTTTATAAAAAATATTTTTCGAAGTTTTTAAGAGGCGTGGATTTTATAAAAAATATTTTTCGAAGTTTTTAAGAGGCGTGGATTTTATAAAAAATATTTTTCGAAGTTTTTAAGAGGCGTGGATTTTATAAAAAATATTTTTCGAAGTTTTTAAGAGGCGTGGATTTTATAAAAAATATTTTTCGAAGTTTTTAAGAGGCGTGGATTTTATAAAAAATATTTTTCGAAGTTTTTAAGAGGCGTGGATTTTATAAAAAATATTTTTCGAAGTTTTTAAGAGGCGTGGATTTTATAAAAATATTTTTCGAAGTTTTTAAGAGGCGTGGATTTTATAAAAAATATTTTTCGAAGTTTTTAAGAGGCGTGGATTTTATAAAAAATATTTTTCGAAGTTTTTAAGAGGCGTGGATTTTATAAAAAATATTTTTCGAAGTTTTTAAGAGGCGTGGATTTTATAAAAAATATTTTTCGAAGTTTTTAAGAGGCGTGGATTCAAGACTTTTAAGAGCAAAGACCCATAGATGCGTGGATTTTTTAAAAAAAGAGGTGAAGATTTTTTAAAAAAATATTTTTCAATGTTTAAAAGGGGCGTGGATTTTGTAAAAAATATTTTTCAAGCTTTAAGAGGCGTGGATTTTTTAAAAAATATTTTTCAGGGTTTTCAAAAGGCGCGGATTTTAAAAAAAATATTTTCAGGGTTTACAATAGGCGCGGATTTTAAAAAAAATATTTTCAGGGTTTTCAAAAGGCGCGGATTTTAAAAAAAAATATTTTTCAAGCTTTAAGAGGCGTGGATTTTTTAAACAAATATTTTTCAGGGTTTTTAGAAGGCGCGGATTTTTAAAAAAATATTTTTCAAGGTTTTTAAGAGGCTTGGGTTTTTTAAAAAATATTTTTCAAGGTTTTTAAGAGGAGTGGAATTTTATAAAAAAATATATTTCATGGTTCTTAAGAGGAGTGGAATTTTATAAAAAAATATATTTCATGGTTTTTAAGAGGCATAGATTTTTTAAAAAATATTTTTCAAGGTTTTTAGTGGGCGTGGATTTTTTAATAAATATTTTTCAAGGCTTTTAAGAGGCGTGGATTTTTTAAAAAATATTTTTCAAAGTTTTTAAGCGGCGTGTATATTTTAAAAAATATTTTTTCATGGATTATCAGATGCGTGTATTTTTTAAAAAATATTTTTTCATGGATTATCAGAGGCGTGGATTTTTCAAAAATATTTTTTCATGGATTATCAGAGGCGTGGATTTTTTAAAAAATATTTTTCAAGGCCTTAAAGAGGCGTGGATTTTTTAAAAAATATTTTTCAAGGCCTTAAAGAGGCGTGGATTTTTTAAAATATATTTTTCAAAGGTTTTAAGAGGCGTGGATTTTTTAAAAAATATTTTTTAAAGTTTTTAACAGGCGTGGCTTTTTAAAAAATATTTTTTCAAGGTCTATCGCAGGCGTGGATTTTTTTAAAAACATTTTTTCGAGTACTATCAAAGGCCTGGATTTTTTAAAAAATAATTTTTTAAGGACTATCAGAAGCGAGGATTTTTTATAAAACACTTTTCACGGTCTCTAAGAGGTGGGGATTTTTAAAAAAAAAATTAAGGTTTTAAGAGTCGTGAATTTAAAAAAAAAAATATTTTTTTTTCAAGGTTTTTAAAAAGAGTGGATTTTTTTAAAAAATATCTTTCAAGGTTTTTAGGAGGCGTGAATTTTTTCAAAAATATTTTTCAAGGTCTTCCAAAGGCGTGGATTTTTAAAAAATATTTTTTCAAAGACTACCAAAGAAGTGGATTTTTTAAAAAATATTTTTTCAAGGACTACCAAAGACGTGGATTTTTTAAAAAATATTTTTTCAAGGACCAAAAACAGGCGTGGTTTTTTTTAAAAATATTTTTTTCGAGGACCATCACAGACGTGGATTTTTTAAAAAATATTTTTTTCGAGGACCATCACAGACGTGGATTTTTTAAAGAATATTTTTTAAGCATCAACAGTGGCGTGGATTTTTTAAAAAATATTTTTTTTTCGAGGACCATCACAGACGTGGATTTTTTAAAAAATATTTTTTTCAAGGACCATCACAGACGTGGATTTTTTTAAAAATATTTTTTTTCGAGGACAACCATATTTGTGGATTTTTTAAAAAGAATATTTTTTCAAGCTCTGCCGGAGGCGTGAATTTTATAAAGAATATTTTTTCAAGCTCTCCCAGAGGCGTGGATTTTTTAAAAAATATTTTTTAAGGTCTACCACAGGCGTGGATTTTTTAAAAAATATTTTTTAAGGTCTATCACAGGCGTGGATTTTTTAAAAAATATTTTTCAAGGTCTTAAAGAGGAGTGGATTTTTTAAAAAATATTTTTCAAGGTCTATCACAGGCGTGGATTTTTTAAAAAAACATTTTTCAAGGTCTATCACAGGCGTGGATTTTATAAAAAATAATTTTTATAAAATCCAGAGAGGCGGGGAATTTTAAAAAAATATTTTTTCAAGGTCTTTAGCAGCCGGGGAATTTTAAAAAATATTTTTCAAAGTTTTTAAAATGCGTGGGTTTTTTAAAAAAAATGTTTTTTCACATTTTCTCTTTTCAAATACTCACACTAACTCTCTTGACCTCCTTGATGGCGGCCAGGCTCTCGTCCTCCACAACATAACCGGATGGGGTGTTAATTTCCAAAACGGCCATATTAGAGGCTTCTCCCTCGCCTGTGTACTCAACACAGACATTTATGAGCAGCGCCGATTTTTGGGCAGTCTGTTGCTTTTCCGTGGTTATTGTGAAGCTGGGCTGTTCCTTTTCCAAAATGTTGTATTGATAGGCCACCTGGACCATGGCGGTACCGGTGCCCTTGGCGGTGAAGTCAATGGATTTGGTTTTGTCGGGCATCTACAAAAAAAAAAAAAACGGAATTATTATTTGTTTTAAAATTATATCCCAACTTTCCTTTACCTCCACATTTTGATAGAGTATATCATTCTCCTCGGTCAAATTAAGAGTTTCCTGTTTCTCCTTGTCACCGCCCTTGGAGGCTACATTGACCACCATTTTGGCTGGTTCGTAATCGGCCAATTTGGCAAATTGTATCAGAGCCTGTAAGCCCACCACGGTATCCTGGGTCGAGGAGAAGCCACCATAGCTATTACGCTGGGCAATGAGCCATCTGATAATGGGCAGAACTTCATCCAGATTGGGTGTGGGTTGATTTAGGAGCGTGAGTAGGGCATAGGAACTGATTTCCACATCACTGCTGTAGACATAGAGCCACCATCTGCGCGACAGAGGTTTATTCGAGCTGGACCACCATTTGCGATCACCATCGGTCTTCACCAAAGAATTCAGTTTTGCCAATTTCTCCCCAGCCTTGGCATGTTGGGCCTTGTCCAGGGTATAGGTGGCAATGGCCTGGGCATGCAGTGACTCTTCTTTGTCGGAATTTTCACTGATGTAATTCAAAGCCTTTTGAATGTGGGCGGAGTATTTTTCGGCATAGGTTTTGTTTTCCAACAAGGCCAGCAGGACGGTACTGGTCAACGAGACATGATTGGCCTGAGATCTGTAGAAGAAGCCTTGAGATTTTTCGCTAAACGAGCCATTCTGGGCCTGTTGTTGGGCCAAATATTCTAGGGCCTTTTCAATGACCTTGGAGTCCACTTTAATGTAGTCTTCCAGCTGGAGCAGGGAACGGGCCACATAGGCTGTCAGCCAGGTGGAACCATTGTTGGGTTGTCCATCGATTTTATGCGGTCCAAAGGAGCTGAACGAGCCATCGGGATGGCGATAGTTTAGCATGTGTTGGTAACCATTTTCCATGTTGTAGCGCAGCTTGGTTTCCATGGTGGGGGTGAGGCGTTTGGTGTTCTGCAGGAGGGGGAGAGAGAAAAAGAAGAGTGATATAATTAGTGGAGGGGCGACAGGTATAAAGGGAGGTAGATAGGAGGCGAGATATGCGGGGGAGGAGAGAGATATTGGAGAGCAAAGCTTATGGATAGGAGTGTTATATTGTTGGCGAGAGGGAGAGAGAGAGAGAGGAGGAAACATAAAGAAGAGAACACACATAGAAGGGGTGAGAGATAGATGAGAAGACAGATAGTTGAGGAGTCAGATTGGAGAAGAGGAAGGGGATAAGAGGTGGAGATAAGAGAGACAGAAGTGGAGAGGTGGGAGAATATAAGAGAGAAATAAAATATGGAGAGAGGTAGAAGAGAGAAAATAATGAGAAGAGATAAGGGAGATTGGATATGGAGAGATAGGAGATGGAAAGAAGCGATGTAGGATATGGAGAGGAGAGAGCGAGATAGAGAGAGAAATGAGGAGAGAGGTGAGATTGATCCAGAGGAGAGATATAGAAGATAAAGAGGGAAGATATATCAGATGGATGGAAGAAAGAATGAATGAGGAGAGAGACAAATGATGGTAGACATGAGATAGATGGGAGAAAGGAGAGTGATATTTTCGTGGAGAGAGAGAGGAGATAGGACATGAAAGGATATAGAAGCTAGAAAGAAGAGATATTGGAGAGGGGGAGGGGAGAGAGAAGCGATAATGGAATGGGGAGAGAAATAGATTAAAGAGAGGAGGATATATAAAAGAGAGAGTGAGCGACAGAGAGAGATGAAAAAGAGAAACAGAAATTCCCTAACTCCCAGAAATCCAGAGCTGGGAATTGACAATCACTTACCTCCAAATATTTCATGACCAAATAATTCGGCAGCAAAGTGGACATGGTCTGTTCGCCACAGCCCGTGGGAAGGCGCACTAAATTATCCAAATTATTGACCACGGGTCCCAGGATATCTCCCACAACTCCCACCTCAACATGTTGGGAGTCGGGTATAATCTCTGCGGGCAATTCCAGCTCAAACGAAGCCTTCATTTCCGATTCCTTGTTGAGATTGACAAAATACGCCCGATTGCCATATTTGGTGACACCCTCCGGCACCACCTTCATTGACTTGTGCACAGCATCACCGGCCACCGGGGAGACGGCAGTGTATTTCAACATTACATTACCCAAAACTTTGGGGCGGATCATAAATGCCACACCCGCTGCACCCATGGCTGGAACGCGCACCATTTTACTGCGTTTTTGATCGCCAATCACTTCGTTATTGACTTCGGTAAATTCAAATTCATCATCGGCATTGTCCAGGGTGACCTCAACGTCGAGGGTTTTGTCCAAGTAATTAAATACCAGGGCTGGGATGTTAATGACCTCGCCACGCTTGACAGAGTAGGGTAGACGCACCGATATGAAGAAGGGTTGGAAGGTGGTGATTTTGGTTTTATCCCCTGTCACGGCCAGACCCTTTTCGCTGTTCATGGCAAAGCCACTCACCATCCAGGAGGTAATGGTGTCGGGTATTTTTTTGGACCAGGTGAATTCTTCCTTGTCGGTACTGGAAAAAATTGTTTTTTTTTTTTTGAAATTAATAAAAATTCCGCAATTCTGGTACCCCTTGCAACCTACTTTTCAATGTTATCAAAGATCCAGGTCTCGGCGAAATCCTTGCGCACCTGAATAGGTCCACTGCCACCAAAGGAATCAGCAGCCGCCCCACCAAAACCACCAGCGGCAGCACTGGCCACCATGGGTGGATGACCGGCCCGGGTGCCCGATCCTGTCTGTGGTACAAAATCTTGGGATAGATCATTACGCTCCACAGCGGCAAATGGCACTACTAAATTTAAAGAAAAACAGACATACCTTTAGTGTTGTCGACATCGCATATTTCCGATGGGCGGAATGAAACTCACTTGTCATATATTCCGGCTTGGTCCAGTTATAGAAATAATCGGCATTCGTTAGGGTAACACAGCCCACAATGGTGCCGGGGTAGTAGGAGTAGCCACCCTGATGAGGGGTACGTGTAACATATGAGCCCACAGTCCAGCCGAATTCCGTGGGCCGAATATCGTTGTTGGATCTCAGCAACAGCACACTTTGATCCACAGCCATAAGACCGACAAAGGAATTGGGAGCGGTTTTGATTTTTAAGGCAACTTCCTGGCCTGGCTTGACTTGTTCGGCGGCCGTGATGTTGATCTGGAAATAAAAAAAATTAGAGAATTGAAAAAGGAGCAAAATTTGGTTTGGCAGCAGTTTTAATAACCTCATTTGGAGACATTTGAAAATTTCTGAAAAACTTTGAAAATTTTTAAAAAAATTTGAAATTTTTTGAAAAATTTTGAAAATTCGGCTTGGCCGCAGTTTTAATACCCTACACTATTTGGAAGGAATTTGAAAATTTTTAAAAAAAAATTGAAAATCTCTGAAAAATGTTTAAAAAAATTTTGAAATTTTTTAGAAAATTTCTGAAAGTTTTTGAAAAATTTTCTAAATTTTCAAAAAATTCGGAATTTTCGGAAATGTTTGCCATAGGCTGTAGTACCAATTACGAACGTCAAATGTCAAAATTGAACCAGTTCCGGCCTATAATGTCGGCGAAATCATAAAAATACCGAAAATTGGGAGGTACGATTAAAGGAGACCCATATGAAGCCGTGGACCTACATAGATAATTTTCGGTGACAGGCTGTAATACTCATTGCGAACTCCAAATACGAAATTTGAAAGAATTCCGTTGGAAAATGTCGCCAAAATCCTTAAAATACCGAATATCGGAAGGTACCGTTGTATGGGGGCTATATGAAGCCGTGGAGCTGCATAAACAATTTTTGGTGACAGGCTGAAGTACCCATTGCGAACTTCAAATATCAAATATGAAACAATTCCGGTGGATAATGTCGACAAAATCCTCAAAATGCCGAATATTGGGAGGTACCATTGTATGGGAGCTATATGAAGACATGGACCTACATAAACAATTTTCGGTGACAGGCTGTAGTACTCATTGCGAACTCCAAATACGAAATTTGAAAGAATTCCGTTGGAAAATGTCGTCAAAATCCTCAAAATACCGAATATCGGGGGGTACCGTTATATGGGGGCTATACGAAGGCGTGGAGCTGCATAAACAATTTTTGGTGACAGGCTGTGGCACCCATTAGGAACTTCAAGTACGAAATTTGAAACAATTAAGATTAGTAATGTTGCCAAAATCCTCAAAATACTGGATATAGGGAGGTACAATTACAGGGGACCTATACGAACATGTGGACCTGCATAGACAATTTTCGGTGACAGGCTGTAGTACCCATTGCGAACTTCAAATACGAAATTTAAAAGAATTCCGGTGGATAATGTCGCTAAAATCCTCAAAATACCGAATATGGGGAGGTACCGTTGTATGGGGGCTATATGAAGACGAAGACCTACAGAGACAGTTTTCGGTGACAGGCAGTAGGACTTAATAAGAACTTCAAATACGAAATTTGAAACAATTTCGTTGAATACAGCCGCCAAAATCCTCAAAATACCGAATATCGGGGGTTACCGTTATATGGGGGCTATACGAAGACGTGGACATGCACACGTAATTTTTGGTGAGAGGCCGTAGTATCTGTTGTGAACTTTAAATACGAAATTTGAAGCTGTTCCGGCAACAATTGTCGGTAAAATAATCAAAATACCGAATATTGGGAGGTACATTGTATGGGAGCTATATGAAGCCGTGGACATGCATAAATAATTTTCGGTGACTGGTTGTAGTACCCATTACGAACTTTAAATACGAAATTTGAAAGAATTCCGGTCTATAATGTCGCCAAAATCCTCAAAATACTGAATATAGGGAGGTACCATTATAGGGGACCTATACGAAGACATGGACCTAAATAAACAATTTTCGGCGACAAGCTGTAGTACCCATTAGGAACTACAAATACGAAATTTGAAAGAATTCCGTTGGAAAATGTCGCCAAAATCCTCAAAATACCGAATATTGGGAGGTACGATCAAAGGAGATCCATACGAAGCCGTGGACCTACATAGACAATTTTTGGTGACAGGCTGTAGCACCCATAACGGACTTTAAATACGAAATTTGAAAGAATTCCGAAAGATAATGTCGCCAAAATCATCAAAATACCGAATATCGGGAGGTACCGATGTATGGGGGCTACATGAAAACTTAGACCTACATAGACAATTTTCGGTGACAGGCTGTAGTATCTATTGGGAACTTCAAATGCCAAATTTGAAACAATTCCGATAGATAATGTCGCCAAAATCCTCAAAATACCGGATATCGGGGGGTACCGTTGTATGGGGGCTATACGAAGACGTGGAGCTGCATAAACAATTTTTGGTGACAGGATGTAGTACCTATTGCGAACTTCAAATACCAAATTTAAAGCAATTCCGCTAAATAATGCTGTCAAAATCCTCAAAATACCGAATTTAGGGAGGTACCGTTGTATGGGGGCTATATGAAGACTTGGACCTACATAGACAATTTTCGGTGACAAGCTGTAGTACCCATTACGAACTCCAAATACAAAATTTGAAAGAATTCTGTTAAATAATGTCGCCAAAATCCTCGAAATGCCGAAAATAGGGAGGTACGATTAGAGGAGATCCATACGAAGCCGTAGACCTACATAGACAATTTTCGGTGACAGGCTGTAGTATCCATTGAGAACTTTAAATAACAAATTTGAAATAATTCCAAAGGATAATGTCGCCAAAATCCTCAAAATACCAAATATAGGGAGGTACACCCATAGGGGACCTATACGAAGCCGTGGACCTATATAGACAATTTTCGGTGAAAAACTGTAGTACCCATTAGGAACTTCAAATACGAAATTTGAAATAGTTCCGATAAATAATGTCGCCAAAACCCTCAAAATACCGAATATTGGGAGGTACCATTATAGGGGACCGATACGAAAACCTGGACCTACACAGACAATTTTTTGTGAGAGGTGGTAGCACCCATTAGGAACTTCAAATTCAAAATTTGAAAGGATTCCATTGGAAAATGTCGTCATAATCCTCAAAATACCGAATATCGGGAGGTACCGTTGTATGGGGGCTATATGAAGACATGGACCGATATAAACAATTTTCGGTGACAGGCTGTAGTATCCATTGAGAACTTTAAATAACAAATTTGAAAAAAATCCAAAGGATAATGTCGCCAAAATCCTCAAAATACCGAATATCGGGAGGTACCGTTATATGGGGGCTATATGAAGCCGTGGACCTATATAGACAATTTTCGGTGACAGGCTGTGGCATCCATTAGGAACTTCAAATACCAAATTTGAAACAATTCCGATAAATAATGTTGCCAAAATCCTCAAAATACCGAATATCGGAAGGTACCGTTGTATGAGGGCTATATGAAGACTTGGACCTACATAGACAATTTTCAGTGACAGGTTGTAGTACCCATTACGAACTTCAAATACGAAATTTGAAAGAATTCCGATAGATAATGTCGCCAAAATCCTCAAAATACTAGATATAGGGAGGTACAATTACAGGGGACCTATACGAAGATATGGACCTGCATAAACAATATTTGGTGACAGTCTGTAGTACCTATTGCGAACTCCAAATACGAAATTTGAAACAATTCCGCTGGATAATGTTGCCAAAATCCTCAAAATGCCGAATATTGGGAGGTACGATTAAAGGAGACCCATATGAAGCCGTGGACCTACATAGACAATTTTCGGTGACAGGCTGTAATACCCATTGCGAACTCCAAATACCACATTTGAAACAATTCTGATTAATAATGTCGCCAAAATCATCAAAATTCCGAAAATAGGGATGTACGATTAAAGGAGACCCATGCGAAGACATGGACCTGCATAAATAATTTTTGGTGAAAGTCTGTAGTACCCATTTCGAACTCCAAATACAAAATTTGGAAGAATTCCGCTAAATAATGTCGCCAAAATCCTTAAAATACCGAATATCGGGGGGTACTGTTATATGGGGGCTATATGAAGACCTGAACCTGCATTGGCCATTTTCAGTGACAGGCTGCAGTACCCATTACGAACTTCAAATACCAAATTTGAACCAGTTCCGGCCTATAATGTCGCCAAAATCCTCAAAATACCGAATATAGGAAGGTACAGTTGTATGGGGGCTATATGAAGACTTGGACCTGCAGAGACAATTTTCAGTAACAGACTATAACATCTGGTAGGAACTTCAAATACGAAATTTGAAACTATTCGGTTGAATACAGCCGCCAAAATCATCAAAATACCGAATAAAGGGAGGTACCGTTGTATGGGGGCTCTATAAAGACTTGAACCTACAGACACAATTTTCAGTAACAGACTATAACATCTGGTAGGAACTTCAAATACGAAATTTGAAACCATTCCGTTAAATAATGTCTCCAAAATCCTTAAAATACCAAATATCGGAAGGTACACCCATAGGGGACCTATACCAAAACATGGACCTATGTAGCCCATTTTCATTACCAAAAATCCTGCAGACCTAGCACACATCTGAGTAAAATTTTATCCCCCTACTACATTTCGTGCGGAAGCTACAGTGTTACGGTGGAGGGTATAAAAAGTATAACCATTATCCCCAAGGCTTTTCCAGGACTTACCTTATTTTCCAGCTCATAATCAATATAATAGGTATCTTCAGCATAATGATATTCACCCTCAGCATCGACATAGTAGACATAGACCGAGAATCTTGGCGAGCAGACCAAATCGGGTGTAAAACTGATATTGTGAACCATGGGTTTGTTGGGCAAATCAATGTGGCCCGACTTGATGATATTGCCGCGCGCCACAACATTAAAGTCCAAATAGGCCAGGGGTTTGCTGGAGTTGACGGTGAAGTGTTCCTCGTGGAATAGCTTGGGACTGGAAAGAAAAATTTATTCATTAAAAATCGAAAATCGTTTAAGGTACCCCAAGCACCCACCGATTATTGTAGTATCTATCCTCCAATTTAAACCAATCCTTGGGCAACTTCTCTTCGGGGGTATCCACCTTCTTGGGCTCACGATATTGATAGGCATTGTTGACGTCACGTTTCTCATCGCGATACAGGGCCTCAATGTTATAATAATGGCTATAGCCTTCATATTCCTTCAGATCGCTCAACTTAACCTTGAAGGTCACAAAACCGGTTTCATTCATGAAACCCTTAAAGGAGAAGGTACGATTCTCCCCCACCGGTGGCATAAGGGTGGTCGTCACCTCCTCACCGCTATCCATGTGACGTGGCTGATGCCATGAATTCTTTTCCAAAACTTCCGTGTAGACCAATTCCACTGGGGTCTTGGTATCCTTCAAATGGCTACCATCCACATAGGTCAACTGGATCATAACCTCCTTTTCCTTATCCGCCTCAAAGGAATTACATTCGTAATAATGGACACAGTGCATGGCATAGCGATAGGGATAGATTTGGGTACTGGCGGTGGTGTTGATTTTCACCCCCGTGAATTCTTCCTCCACGGTGGCCACAATAGTGGCATAGGTGGAGTATTCTTTGCTGTGCAAATAGGCCTCCAATTGCTTGACATTCATATCGATCTTGGCCTTGCCTTGGATCATGTCGGCGGTGCGAATAATGCTAGGCGGTTGTTTTTTCTCATCATCCATACTGCGTCCGAAGTCGTAGTAGGAGCCCAGGGTCAGAATTACGGTGGCCTTGCCGTTCAGGGGTTTGCCGTAGGTGTAGCTGGGAAATAAAAGAAGATAAAAATAATAAATTTAGCACTCCAGGGTGGAAAGAGAGGTAGGGAGGGGGAGAGAGTGAGGGGGGAGAGAGGGGGGGGGAGAGAGGGGAGAATTGAAAGAGGAATGGTTTCTTAGAAATATCTTCGTCATTTTCCCTTGACAAAAGGGAGAGAGAATTGTCTCTTTCCTCTCTGAGTTATACATTCCTGACGAAAAAGGGAGAAAGTTCTCCACAAAAAAAAATTTGGGAGAAAAGAGAGGAGGAGGGACAGAGAAATATATCCCGTACTCCATTTCGAAAATTCTGTAAGAAAAGAGGGAAGGAGAGAGAATTTATATTTCTCTGAAATTCTGGGGAGCCAATAGAGGATCAGAGAAATACCTCCTTAGTCTTGGGAGAAGAGTGAAAAAAAAGAGAAGAGAGAGAGAGAAAGTGAAAAATCACCCTGCCTCTTTCACTCTAAAATAGGGAGAAAGATTTATCCCTCTCTCATTCTGGGGAAACTCCATTTCGAAAATTCTGGAAAAACAGACGTAAGGAAAAAGCATTTATTTATCACCGAAATTCTGGGGGGAGAAGGGAGAAATGTGTCCCTCTCTCATTCTCGCAAAACTCCATTTCGGATATTCTGGAAGAAAAGAAGGAAAAAAAGAGAGAATTTATCTTTCTATGGAATTCTGGAGAGCCAACAGAGGGACAGAAATATATCTCCTAATTCTTGGGAAAAGAGTGGAAAAAGTAGAAGAAACTGAGAGAGAGAGAGAGAGAGAAAATTCACCGTCTCTCTTGCTCTTCGAAATTCTTGGGAGAGAAGGGAGCAATGAATCCGTCTCTCATTCTCACGAAACTCCACTTCGAAAATTCTGGAAGAAAAGAGGGAAGGAGGGAGAATTTAGTTTTCTCGGAAAATCTGTGGAGGGTGGGGGGAGGGGTTCAATAGATGATTTAAGGAATATCTGCTAATTCTTGGGATAAGAGTTGAAAAAGGAAGAAGAAAGAGGGATGGGAAATTTCACCCTCTCTCTTGCTCACTAGAATTCTTCTTGGAAGACAAAGAAGAAATCCCTCGTATTTTTAATTTTTTCTCTCTCTCTCTCCCTTTCTCTCTCTTTCTTTCTTCTCCTATTTCATTCTCCTGCCAAAAAGGAGAAATGTATCCAACTCTCTTTCTCTCAAAAATTTTAAGAAGAACAAATATTTTACTCCACCTCTCTCCTTGGTATTAAATAAGTCAAGCGAGAGAGAGAGAGAAATTTCTAACGCTCTCTTTTATTTTCCACTTACTTGGCCCTTACAACGACCTGCATATCACCATCCTTAACCGAAACCGATTCCGTTGCCTCGGCCTTGACCACATATTTGGGTAGGACATATTTCTGGACCTCAAAATACACGGCACGATCATAGTGACCCTTGCTGGACACAACCAAACGCCAATTACCCATTACAGGGAATTCGGAAATCTGAAAATGTCCCGTATGTACACCCTTCACCACTTCCAAATTCTTCAGTTCCTTAATGCGATTTCGCTTGCCATCTTCGAACCATAGCACTGTATCTGGCTCAGCTTTACCTGGTCTCAGATCTTTGTCCAAAAACAAAACGCGATAATTGATAACATCTCCAGGCTTGTACAGACCCTTGTCGGTCTGTAGGCGAACATATGTCTCGAATTTGGCAAAATCCAATTTGGTGGTATTTTTGAAATTCTCCAAACAATTCAAACCCTCAGCGGTGAGATTGTATTTACCCTCGACGAGGGTGGGTACGGCAAAGTCAACTTCTTTGATTTCCGAACCCTTGACCTCGACCGTTTTGCTTTCGTTGAATGAGGGGCCGGTGATGCCCACCTTTATTTGGCATGGCTCTGCCAGATTGTGGACCGCAACTGCAGCGGTGTATTTGTCATTCGAGTGAATGGTACCGGGTGCGATAACGGTATATTTGCTGGAAAAAAGTAAAAAAAATAAATAAATAAATAAATAATTAATTTTTTTAAATATTTTGAAACAAATATTTGTTGCCAAACACCAATATCCGTTTTGGGTTATCAATATTTGACCTCGATATTTTTTTTTTTTTTTTTTTGAAAATTTATGATTGCAATTTTTAAAAAAATAAGTTGCATAAGATTTTTGAAGCCAAAAAAAAAAATAAAATAAAATAAATAATTTTTTATTTATTTATTTTAATTTTTTTTTATTTCTTTAAAGAAATAAAAAATAATAATAAATTAAAAAATGGAAAATGAAAATCCAGCAGAATATAAAAATAAAGCTAAAAATAGGATACATGTGTATCGGCGTTGTGAAATTTTACATAAACAAATTTACCCAAATAGAGGGGGGTAAGTTCCCCCTTCTTCCACTTATTTTTTAGATTTTCGAATCAAGATTCCTCGAAATCCGTCCATTTTTGGTGTATAGTCTCTTCGGCACTATTACAGATAAAAATACCAGGATTATTTTGGTAGAAGATTTTAACCCTCAACCAAGTCAACAAAGGGGTCTTTTTGGTCATTTTTATAAAAAAATGGTTAAAAACTCCGATTAAAAGGATCTGTAGCAACTCAAAATATTCTACAAAATTATTTGCCATAACATTCTACTATAGGTCCCGGAAGATACCGAAAGTCTAAGTCTTACCTAAATGCCAGGAACTCATATCTATTAAAACACGTTTTAGGGTTAAAATCGTACATTGTGTGAATTTATGCGAATTTTTCCTACAAAACAGTTTTTTAGAAGGATAACCTCAAAGGAAAAAATATTCTCCATCAAATTTCACTATGAGTCACCATTGGAAAGAAATCTCTATATCCACTCTACATAAATAAAATAATCGTATCAATGTTGCCAAAAAACCGAAAATATTTACTAATTTTTTGATAATTTTTTTCTCGGCCTTTTTTTCGAGTTGACAGCTGAAAGTAGCTTAAAATGCTGTTTTAGGCGAAAATTGTTAAAGGAAGAAATATTCTACACAATATTTCACTATAAATCTCAGAGTAAATCACATATCTAAGGATAATAGTTTCAAAGGAAATTAAATTCGAAGTTTATAAACTAAAGGATAAAATTATTTGTTTACGTTTTTTACAGGCAATTAAACACGTTTCCAACCCAAGTCAAAATCTCCATTTATATTTCAGTTTTTAGGAAAAGTGTCAGTGGAGGAAATATTCTACAGCAAATTTCACTATGACTCACCATTGGAAAGAAATCTCTATATCCACTCTACATCAATAAAAGAATCGTATCAATGTTGCAAAAAAAAAAAAAAAAACCGAAAATATTTCCTAATTTTTTGATGAATTTTTTTCTTGACCTTTTTTCAAGTTGACAACTGAAAGTATCATAATATTTCGTTCTAGGCGGAAATTCTTAAAGAAAGATATATTCTACACATTATTTTACTATAAATCTCAGAATAAATCATGTTTCTAGGTATGATAATTTTAGAGAAAATTCCATTCGAAATTTATTAATTGAAAGAGAAAATAATATGTTTACGTTTTTTACAGCCAATTTAACATGTTTCCAACCCAAGTCAAAATCTCCATTTATACTTCAGTTTTTAGGAAAAGTGTCAATGGAAGAAATATTCTACAGCAAATTTTAATATGACTCACCATTGGAGAGAAATCTCTATATCCACTCTACATCAATAAAAGAATCGTTTCAATGTTGCAAAAAAACTGAAAATATTTACTAATTTTTTGATCAATTTTTTTCTCAACCTTTCTTCGAGTTGACAGCTGAAAGTAACATAAAAATTAATTTTAGGGGGAAATTGTTAAGAGAAGAAATATTCCTCACAAAATTTCCGTATAAATCTCAGTGAAAATCATATATCTGAGGATAATAGTTTCTAAGGAAATTCAATTCGAAGTTTACAAACCAAAGGAGAAAATTATGTGTTTACGTTTTTTACAGCCAACTTAACACGTTTCCAACCCAAGTCAAAATCTCCCTTTATACTTAACTTTTTAGGAAAAGTGTAAAAGGCAGAATTATTCTCCATAAAATTTCACTATGAGTCACCATTGGAGAGAAATTTCTACATCCATTCTACATCAATAAAAGAATCGTATCAATGTTGCATAAAAAACCGAAAATATTTACTAATTTTTTGATCAATTTTTTTCTCGGCCGTTTTCAAGTTGACGCACGAAAGCCACTTAAAATGTTGTTCTAGGCGGAAAGTGTTAAGAGTAGAAATATTCCTCACAAAATTTCACTATAAATCTCAGAGTAAACCACATATCTGAGGATAATAGTTTCTAAGGAAATTAAATTCGAAGTTTATAAACTAAATGAAAAAAATTATGTGTTTACGTTTTTTTTCAGCCAATATAACATGTTTTCAATCTAAGTCAAAATCTCCCTTTATACTTCATTTTTTAGGAAAAGTGTTAAAGGACGAAATATTCTACAGCAAATTTCACTATGACTCACCATTGGAAAGAAATCTCTATATCCACTCTACATTAATAAAAGAATCATATTAATGTTGTATAAAAAACCGAAAATATTTACTAATTTTTTGATGGATTTTTTCTCGACCTTTTTTTTTCGAGTTGACCGCTGAAAGTAACATAAAATTTCATTTTAGGCTGAAATTGTTAAAAGAAGAAATATTCTACACAAAATTTTACTATAAATCTCAGAGTAAATCATATATCTGAGGATAACAGTTTCTAAGGAAATTTATTTCGAAGTTTATAAATGGAAAGAGAAAATTATTTGTTTACGTTTTTTACAGCCAATTTAACACGTTTTCAACCCAAGTCAAAATCTCCACTTATACTTCATTTCATTTGATAAGTGTTAAAGGAAGAATTATTCTACATCAAATTTCACTATGTGTCACCAATGGAAAGAAATCTCTATATCCACTCTACATCAATAAAAGAATCGTATCAATGTTGCCAAAAAACCGAAAATATTTACTAATTTTTTGATCAATTTTTTTCTCGTCCTTTTTTTGAGTTGACGCCCGAAAGTAACTTAAAATGTTGTTTCAGGCAGAAATTGTTAAAGGAAGAAATATTCCTCACAAAATTTCACTGTAAATGTCAGAGTAAACCATATATCTGAGGATAATAGTTTCCAAGGAAATTCAATTCGAGAAAAAAGATTAAATTATGTGTTTACTTTTTTTTACAGCCAATTTAACACGTTTCCTACCCAAGTCAAAATCTCCATTCATTCTTAATTTTTTGTAAAATGTGTTAAAGGAAGAAATATTCTACATCAAATTTCATTATAGGTCACCATTGGTCAGAAATCGCTATTTCTACTCTATATCAAGAAATGATTCGTGTCAATGTTGCCAAAAAAACCGAAGAGATTTCCTAATTTTTTGATCAATTTTTTCTCGACCTTTTTTCGAGTTAACGCCTGAAAGTAACATAAAATTTCATTTTAGGGGGAAATTGATAAAGGAAGTAATATTCTACACAAAATTTTACTATAAATCCCAGAGTAAACTATATATCTGAGGATAATAGTTTCTAAGGAAATTAAATTCGATGTTTATAAACTAAAGGAGAAAATTATGTGTTTACGTTTTTTACAGTCAATTTATATAGTTTCCAATTTAAGTCAAAATCTCCCTTTATACTTCATTTTTTAGGAAAAGTGTCAATGGAGGAAATATTCTACAGCAAATTTCAATATGACTCACCATTGGAAAGAAATTTCTTTAACCACTCTACATCAATAAAAGAATCGTATCAATGTTGCATAAAAAACCGAAAATATTTACTAATTTAATTTTTACTTTTTCCTCGACCTTTCTTGGAGTTAACGCCTGAAAGTAACATAAAATTTCGTTTTAGGCGGATATTGTTAAAGGAAGAAATATTCCTCACAAAATTTCACTACAAATCTCAGAGTAAACCATATATCTGAGGATAATAGTTTCTAAGGAAATTCAATTCGAAATTTCAAAATTAAAAGAAAAAATTATATGTTTACGTTTTTTACAGCCAATTAAACACGTTTCAAATCTAAGTCAAAATCTCCCTTCACACTTCATTTTTTGGGAAAAGTGTTAAAGGAATAATTATTCTACATCAAATATTACTATCAGTCACCATTGGAAAGAAATTCCTATATCCATTCAGTATCAAGAATATATTAGTGACAATGATGCCAAAAATAAAAAAATAAAAAAATATTTCCTATTTTTTTGTCCATTTTTTCTCGACCTTTTTTGAATTAAAGCTTGAAAGTGACATAAAATTTAGTTTTTTGAAGAAGGTATCAAGAGAGAAAATATTCTACACACGATTTCACAATAAATTTTAGAATAAATCATTTTTCTACGAATGATAGTTTTAAAGAAAATTACATTCGAAATTTATTAATTTAAAGGAGAAAATTATGTGTTTACGTTTTTTACAGACAATTTTATCTCGTTTCCAATCTAAGTAAAAATCTCCATTTATACTTCAGTTTTCAGGAAAAGTGTCATTGGAGGAAATATTCTAGATCAAATTTCATTATGACTCACCATTGGAAAGAAATCGCTATATCCATTCTACATCAATAAAAGAATCGTATCAATGTTGTATAAAAAACTGAAAATATTTACTAATTTTTTTAACAATTTTTTTCTCAACCTTTTTTCGAGTCGACCACTGAAAGTAACATAAAATTTTATTTTAGGCTGAAATTGTCAAAGGAAGAAATATTCTACACAAAATTTCACTATGAATCTCGGAGTAAACCATATATCTTAGGATAATAGTTTTAGAGAAAATTTCATTCGAAATTTATTAATTGAAAGAGAAAATTATGTGTTTACGTTTTTTACAGCCAATTTATCTCGTTTCCAATCTAAGTCAAAATCTCCCTTTATACTTCATTTTTTAGGAAAAGTGTTAATGGAGAAAATATTCTATATCGAATTTCATTGTGAGTCACCATTGCAAAGAAAAC